TCAACGGCACGTTGTCAGTTATTCCTTCCTTGTATTATTAATATGATTATTATTATTATTAAAAGGGCTATTATAGTCGCTCATTTAAGCCATTAGTAATCGCACGTTTATATTTAATTAAACTATTAAATTAACTTATACTAAACGAGTATAAATTTACTACTAAATACTAAACTAGGCTATAGCCTATTCCGCGCTCAAGCGGATCACATAAATAGCAAGAACATATTTTATTTAGGCTACTTATTACTAAACTATTTTCTGAGTCATTGTCTGCAAAGATGAAGTTGACGATGCTGATGAACGACTTTATTCTCGAAATTTAATTATTTTGATTCTCAATATTTTATTTCTTAATTTTTCTGGATATTTAATGAGTTTAATCTAGCATTATAGGCTAATGACTTTATTCTGGAGATGTTTTTTTTTTTTATTGTTTGGCCCTATAATCCTCTTTCTTACCAAGAGGAATCTTTCTTATCCAAATGTTTTCATATTCACAATGTTGGCTATTTGAATTTGAATGCAACAGACTATTATTTATTAGGCCTATGTAAACCAGGCTCATCCTCTTCACATGAGCAAATATGTGCTTGGCCCGAACTCAGGCTGAACGGCACGGATTGTACTAAAGGCTGTTTTAATTAACCAGTGTATCTAGATTCTATAGTGTATCTATATGTTTGGTTGACTGTATTTTATTCTGATAATGAACAGGCTGCAGCGTTAAAATTAATATAAGCTATTCTGTGTCTTAAGACAAGTTAAGTTAGAACAAGTTCAATAATACAAATGTATTATATTTCTACGGTAGAGGAGAATAGCCAAAACAAAAAGAAACAAAGAAAACACAATGTAACATTCATGAAACCCTACTCAATGGAATGCGCACATGTGACTGGGGCTAGTGCCATCTAGTGGTCGCTGATTTTCTGTGTCTCAGCTGCGTGTGGATCGCGAGCTGTGTGTGTGTGGATTGGGCAAGGCTAAAAGGGCGGAACGAAAGTCTCAAAATTCAAACTGAACAAGATCGACTCGAACTAGACGTCAATTAATGCACGTGTGTCACCTGATCCACATATGCAAAGATTCCTTTTTGCATGAGTAATTTAATTTTAAGTTTTTAAGTTTCTCTTTTATTGTCTCCCTTAGGAGAAATTTGTCTTAGGCAACCGGGAGAGCAGATCAAACATACAAAAAAAAAAAAAAAAAAAAAAAAAAAAAATTAAAAAAAAATTAACCCCCTCCAAATCTATATATATATATAATATGGTGATAGGTGGTGTAACTGTCCTGACAATCATCTTGAAGTAAAAAATGAATAAATAAATAAGTTTAATTTTATCCATAAACATCACTCTAACATAAGCTGCAGGATTTTCAAGGTGTTTTAAAATAAAGTGTGTCAGTATTCAAAGCATCTTCTGTACTCCTATTTTCTTTATACGCAAATTGATAAGGATCTAATTTATACACTACATCCTCTCTCAATTTCTCTGTCACAATACGTTCAAGTGATTTCATCACTATGGACGTTAACGCCACTGGTCTAAAGTCATTATTTTCCTCTGCTGGATGTTTTTTTGGAACAGGGATAACGACTGCTTTTTTCCATATTGTAGGAATAAATCCAGTGTCGAGTGATAATTGAAATAATGGACTCCAGGCTGGAGTTAATTCATCAGCAAATGTTTTAAGTAAAAGTGCTGAAATACCATCCGGCCCACTGGACTTTTTGGTATGCAGCCTTTTAAAAATTTTCGCAACAGCACTTGGGTCCACCACAATTCTATCCTTTGTGAAATCACATGTTACAGAACTCAGCAAATCTCTACATTTATCAATATTACCACTACCAGTCAGTTCAAAACGACTATAAAAGTTATTAAATTCATTTGCTTTTTCAAATTCATTTAAAACCTGTATTTCTTTCTTATTTGAATTTAAATTTATCATTCCTCTCACAACATCCCACAACTTTTTAGTATTTGAAGTTGAAATAGCTTCTCTAACACGTAAATTGTGTTGCTCTCTCGCTTCCCTCAATTTTCTCCTTAGTTCCCTTTGAATTTCTCTAAACTCCATTTTATTATTATTTTTAAAAGCTTGATTTCTCCGCCTAATATATTGCTTAATCTCGGGGGTAATATATTCCTTGTTATTTGGATAAATTGTTATGGTCTTTTTTGGGACCACAGTATCAACACAAAAATGATATATTAATGCAGAACAGAACATTTTTATTCGGAAACATGTCTCTATTTGTAAAAATCGCTGCACAATCATTTAATCCCGAATTCCACAGACTCAAATTGAAAGGTATTTGTTTGTGGTTAGTAAGATACAACTTACGCAGCCTTGAGGGGCTCCAACATTTGTGACCAATATATCAGAGAAAGTTGAATTAATTTTCACTTGCTGTTGTCGTCCCGTTAGAAATGCATAATACCATTTAATTATATAAGGGTTCACTTCCATCTGTTTTAACTTAAATAACACAATATCTGGAAGTAATTATTAAACGCTGAACTCAGATCCATAAACATCACTCTAACATAAGCTGAAGGATTTTCAAGGTGTTTTAAAATAAAGTGTGTCAGTATTCAAAGCATCTTCTGTACTCCTATTTTCTTTATACGCAAATTGATAAGGATCTAATTTATACACTACATCCTCTCTCAATTTCTCTGTCACAATACGTTCAAGTGATTTCATCACTATGGACGTTAACGCCACTGGTCTAAAGTCATTATTTTCCTCTGCTGGATGTTTTTTTGGAACAGGGATAACGACTGCTTTTTTCCATATTGTAGGAATAAATCCAGTGTCGAGTAATAATTGGATAATTGTGCGTGCATCTATTAATCATTTTGAGTCTAGTATCATCCCATACACTCGTGCCTAGGTGGCTATAAATATAAAGGTTCTTGTACTACCTGGTCCATGGTCGTACACTCTTTTCGTTGATTAGTAACACGCATGCTGATTGGAATTTCTTGCTGGTTTATGTTATTGATAAAAAGGAAGGGAACACAGCTGGAATGTATGAGAGCAGTTGGAATTGATTGCATAATTCAAAACAATTTCGAAATCAACTTTATAGCTCTTTAGTGCTTGCATACGTATTTGATGAGTTCTGTTTTGCTCTCTTTTCTCATCTGGATCTCTTTGCAGTGCAAGTATGATTTCTGCTGGATTTGTCTTGAGGAATGGAAGAAACACAGCTCCTCTACCGGAGGATACTATCGCTGCACGCGCTACGAGGTCATCCAACAGGTGGAGGAACAGTCCAAGGAGATGACTGTGGAGGTACTCACTCCTTAAATGAGTTTACACACATGGCAGCCATTCAAGAAATGCATTTACTTAGATCTTTTGTGATTTGTTTGTGCACTACTGTGAATGGTGCTAGTGAAGAAAAGGCTCAGCACTTCACATTTACTTTCCAGGCTCATATTTCTCATGTGTAAAAAGCAACAAAACAGGTTCTGTGCTTTTGTTCTGAGTTTACATGTTGTTATGAGCTTGAATTTCCATCATGAAGTTACTCTTGCTTTTGTGATTGTGTCCTCGCAGGCAGAAAAACAGCACAAGAGTTTTCAGGAACTTGACCGTTTTATGCATTATTATACACGATACAAGAATCATGAACACAGTTACCAGGTAGGAATATTTATGTAATGAATGTCTTAAATGTTGAGTGATTGCCTCACTATTTGCTGACAGTCATTCATCAAAGGTGCTTCTTTTAAATTAGTTAGAAGAACGACTCCTGAAAACAGCCAAAGAAAAGATGGAGCAACTAAGCAAAGCTTTCATTGGAAGTGAGTGGAACATCATTTACATTTACATGACTTTAGCTTTAAGTGTGATATAGTATGTTCTTATAAACTGGTGTATTTTAAATCATATAAATATGTAAAAATGTCAATATTTCTGTTTCTTAAAGGGGAAGGAGCCCCACCTGACACCACTTTCATTGAGGATGGTGTGCATGAACTTCTCAAGACCCGACGCATCCTTAAGTGCTCTTATCCGTATAGTTTCTTCTTGGAGCCCAAAAGCACAAAGAAAGAAATATTTGAACTTATGCAGGTAGTGAGATCGAGATCTGTTCACCACTTAAGAGAAACAAGGCAGTGTGATTTTGTTTCCATTTAACCTTTTCTTGCACAATATGCTGATGTGTTTAATCTTTCTCCAACATACACAGACTGATTTAGAGATGGTCACCGAAGACCTTGCTCAGAAGGTGAACAGGCCTTACCTCCGCACCCCTCGCCATAAGATCATCAGTGCCACGTATCTGGTGCAGCAGAAGAGACGGGAGTTCTTGGCCTCTGTGGCTCGAGGTGTTGCCCCAAATGATTCTCCCGAGGCTCCCCGCCGCAGGTAAATCCTTGCGCTGCTATTTACACCACCATTTTTATCAGGTTATCAATTTTGCTAGTGTACTAGTACAGAATAATAGTATACATTTTCAATATGCACCATATAAAAACAAAAAACATGAATTTCAGTACCATGGCATATTTCAAAGTATCATAGTATTACCATCTAATACCATCACTGTGCCATGGTACTACTGTAGTACTTTTTGTACCATGGTAATACCATCAAGGATACAAACGATACAATTTTTTTTTGTCAACAAAAGAGAAACTGTAAGATCTCCTTGCAGTTTTCTGCTGAAATATGAGCTGTGGTTTAATGTTTGACAGCAAAGAAATTAAGACATCCATAAGGATTAATATTTTCTATTATGTAAAATAAACATATTATCATTAAATAGTATTAGTACTATAGGAAAGGACTTTTTTGTTGGATTTATTTTTATAAAAAAATTTAAAACAACAACTTATTGTATGGTCATATTGCATCTCGTTGAAGAACACTATGATGGTATTATAATACTTTGATATTACTTTGGTATCATGTCCAAAATATATTATACTAACAGAAATAAAAACCTACAGCCCCAGTACTTTTTTCCTCTTTTGCAGTTTTGCTGGTGGGACGTGGGATTGGGAGTATCTGGGATTTGCCTCTCCTGAGGTATTACTGCATTACTGCTCCTGTGTTTACATTTTTTTATGTTTTAACTAACCTCTGCTATTGCAAAGCTCAGCCAGCCAGAGTTGTAGCTCACTAGACTGTTAATGCCCTCTGACTGTCTGCGATGTCCTTGTAATAATGTAGGAGAGTTGTGTGTTGTTGTAAAGTACTAGCAGTCACTGAATCTCATTCTGTGTCCAAAGATGGTGAGGAATCACCCAGTACGGGGATCAAATGCACAGCGTGAGAGCAATTACAATGCAGGAGGCCAGCCGCAGGTACTGCTGAAGACAAAATAACAAAACATTCTTTAGTTAACAATTCTTAGTTCACAAAATTTGGTGCAGCATCAATTGTATAGTCATTCATATGTCCAGTATGACGTAATATATGATGCTGTCAAAATAAATGTAATCTGGTGTTTAGCTGTTAAGGCTGGTCATCTCCTGGAATATTCCAGATAAAGGACTATACCGTTACTCAGCCTAAATGCTTAAATAAACCAGAATTCCTGTCCTGTGGTCAACTTCACCGTTCTTGAAATGTGGACACTGTTGTAGATTGCTTTGTCATGCATTCAGTTTGCCTGTGCAAATGATCTGCATTCAGTCTTTCTAACAATTTCAAAATTATTATAATATTAGCTTTTTAATATATTTTTTTCTTCATTTTTTAATGCCTAAATACAGTGGCCTCAAAAAGGATTTGGACACTCAACCATTCTTAAAAAGTATGAATTCTGTTGCAATGGATAATTACATATTAAACTAAGAGGCATCTGCAAAAAAAATGGTGCTAAACATATTTTCTGAAAACTAACATCAGCCTTCTAAATTTTTTTTTTTTTCATTGACTTTTAAAAAATGAATCAGGTTATCAGTCTTGAACCACCAGTGTAGTTCATTGCATTAACCATGAACATGTTCTACTACATTTTAACTAAAGCGTTACAACCAGAAAATATCCAAATACTTAAAGTAGTTACGTTTTTTTTTAAATTATAAAACATTTAAAAAAAACTTATTTTTGTGGAGTGTTTTGCTTGAAAAGTGTTTTTAAAACTGTGGTTAGACATTTTGTTATATAATTACAAGAAACTAATTTTTAAGTGTGACTTGAGTGTCCAAATATGTTGTAGGGTCACTTTATTTTATTTTAATCCATATTAGTAGTAAGGATTAGAGACTCAGGATACGGTTTTCAAATAATTATTTCATTAACTCTTTTATTCACTGCTTGTAATATTGAAGTCAGTCAGTATTCTTGTGAGAGTCTGTCCATTTTTTAAGGATCTATCTTTTACTTAAAGCAGGGGTGCCCAAACTCGGTCCTGGAGGGCCGGTGTCCTGCAGAGTTTAGCTCCAGCTTGCCTCAACACACCTGCCGGGAAGTTAGTTGTATGCCTAGTAAGACCTTGATTAGCTGGTTCAGGTGTGTTTGATTAGGGTTGGAGCTAAACTCTGCAGGACACCGGCCCTCCAGGAATATTTTATATATCAATCTAACATATTTTTCCTTAATATATTCATGTATGTGTGTGTATTTATATATTTTTACATAATAAATATACACAGTACACACATATAGGATGTAAACATAAACGTTTATTTTGAATGTTATTAATCGCGATTAATCGTTTTGCAGCCCTAAACCTGATGCAGCGTTCATTTTTCCACAATTATTTGTTTTGGTCATATTTTTGTATTTTGAATAAAAAAATTTTGTTACTATTTCATATTTTCATTTCTGTCAAACTTACTATAAAATGGCATCTAAATTTAGTCAACGAAATTGCTAAATTAAACAAAATATTTCATACATTTTCATAAACCAGAAAATATTTGATATGCTATTTAAACATGAAACAACATTTAAAAACATACACTGCCATTGAAAATTTTGGGGTTGGTAGGATTTTTTGAATGTTTTTGGGAAAAAGTCTCACCAAGGCTGCATTTATTTGATCAAAAGCATGGTAAAACAGTATTGTGAAATTTTACTACAATTTAAATAACTGTTTTCTATTTGAATATGTTTTAAAATGTATTTTATTCTTGTGATGGCAAAGCTGAATTTTCAGCAGCCATTACTTTGGTCTTTAGTGTCACATGATCCTCCAGAAATCATTCTAGCATGCTGAAACATTTCTTATCATTGTTAAAAACTGTTGTGCTGCCTAATATTTTTGTGGAAACTGAGATGCATTTTTTTTTTTTCAGAATTATTTGATAAGTTGAAGGTTAAAGAGCAGCATTTATTTGAAATAGAAATCCTTAGTAACATTATTAATGATGCTAGTCTCGCGAGTTTGTTTATAGGAGCAAAGGAAGTAAAGTTTCTTTACTTTAGCAATGGAAAACCAGTCTCCTCTTGGTTTATATCGAAATCCTCCGACATTTTTCTTTACAAATCCTTGGTTTGTACTTCTAATTCATGACCGGCGTTTTGTTTTGTTCTCTCTCTGCGTTAGTCACTAATCACGCAACGCCGCGCGTCTTGCGTCATCCGCCGGATCGCCTTCCGCGTATGACAGATAACGGAAGTGAGAGAAAAGTGTTTATTACGTTTGATTATTATACCGGAGCGGTGTGAGGCACGTTTATTATGAATGCGTGCTTTATTTGACGACTTGTGGACTGTTCAACTGCAACACCGGCTGACTGCAATGATAACGCTTGGAATAGCCAGGACCATTTTTAATATAACTCCGACTGGATTCGTCTGAAAGAAGAAAGTCATATACACCTAGGATGCCTCGAGGGTGAGTAAAACAGTCTGATTTTCATTTTTGGGTGAACTAACCCTTTAGTTACTGCTCCTTGACAACAAATCATGTATATTTGTAATTAAACTGAGGTTGATGGTTACTGCAGGAATACTCAGATTTTCAGTACAGACGGAGACACAGGCAGAGGCGTAGAGGAGACCTTCTTAGACTGCACAGCCTCCGCAGTAACACCCCTGAACCACATGACTCCAATGACAACACTTTAGGTAAAGCTCCTGACAGAGACAGTGACCCCACATAAAGTTAGGATAGACATAACTGAAAGAGCTGCTTTATGTCGATGTTACAGAGTTTGAAATTTCTGTATGTGCAATTTGTGTCTACAGAAACACATGAGGGAGGCAATACACCAAGGCATGGGATCTCCACGGTGAATATACTGTTTATATGTAAAGATTTTCTAACCTGATTAGGGCTGCAAAACGATTAATCGCATTCAAAATAAAAGTTTATGTTTACATCCTATATGTGTGTACTGTGTGTATTAAGTATATATAAATACACACACATATATGTATATATTTTAAAAAATATTTGTGTGTATATATATATATATTTGGTCTTTAGTGTCACATGATCCTCCAGAAATCATTCTAGCATGCTGAAACATTTCTTATCATTGTTAAAAACTGTTGTGCTGCCTAATATTTTTGTGGAAACTGAGATGCATTTTTTTTTTTTCAGAATTATTTGATAAGTTGAAGGTTAAAGAGCAGCATTTATTTGAAATAGAAATCCTTAGTAACATTATTAATGTCTTGATGAAATTTTTTTTAATGCATCCTTGCTGAATAAAAGTAATAATTTCTTTAAAAAAATCTTACTGACCCCACACATTTGAATGGTATTGTAGCTTAAAAATGAGTCAAAGAACATATATGGAGAATTTGAACCCTTTTTATCCCTCAGGCACTTGGGTCTCTGGATGAAGATGACCCCAATATTTTGTTGGCTATTCAGCTGTCCCTACAGGAGTCCGGGCTGGCCTTGGACCCCGAGCCTCAGGATGTGCTCAGTAACGATGCCTCTGTAGGTGCCAGTGGTTCCTCTCTGCCCTCTAGACTGGATTCTGCGCACCATACTGCGGATCCCCCCCGAGCTTCCATGAGCAGCTCTGAGCTTCTGGAGCTGGGAGACAGCCTTATGAGACTGGGCAACATTACCAGCCACTATACACCCTTTAACATGAGTTCCTACCCTGATGCCTTGGGTAACGCCTTCACCCCTAGTGACCCAGACTGCCTGGACCCTTCCACCAATGCCAACCTGCTTGGCAACATTATGGCCTGGTTCCACGATATGAATCCACAGAGCATTGCACTGATTCCCTCAGCCGCCGCAGATGCCAGTCCCGAGCTACCCGTTTTTGGAGAGGGACAATCTGCCAAAGCCCAGGACGAGGAGAATGAGGTGGGGAGTCCTGAGCAGGGTTCCCTATCGCTAATGAAAGAGAGCGCAGACGTGTTGGCATCGCAGCTTTTGGAGCTAGAATGTGTGGATGATGCACAACCTCCTAAAGCAGAGCCAGACTTGGAGGGTTCGAGTGGCAGTGTAGATCTCACTAGCGCAGTTTGTCCGGAGAGCAGTACTGATCGGGATCCGCAGGTAACCGACCTCTCCTTAGAGTGGGAGGAAGAAGTGCACCTAGTGTGAGGAAAAATCTAATTATGTTTACCAACTGAGTGCTCTTATCGTGCCAAAACACTAAATAAAAGCAGAATTGCTTGTTCAGAAATGGAGAAGAGTGAACCAGGTGAATTGGGGTTAGACGGGACTTGTCTTAGTTGTGTGTTGCACCGCGTCTGGTGGAAGAAACAAGAAATTGTGGTCAGATTCAAGCTTATGAAAGTAGATGAGAGAAGAGTGGGTCTCATTCACTAACCGTATTTGTGTGTATGAATGTTTTTGCACAGAAATCATAATTCACTAATATCTTAGCACTTCGATTTTTTTCTACATTTAACATAAAATTTAGAACCAACTAAAACTTTATGTATGTATGTATGTAAAAATCAGTCCTGGTGGCCTTAGAAACATGAAATGGTTTAAGCTGAAAAGTTTATACGGACTTGGAAATTTGAACAGCTGAGTGACCCAAAAATGATTTAGCATTGAAAAAATGACACATTTTAGATCTGCATAAAAATGTGTTGTTAGGCCTATATAAAAGGTCTTTATTTTGTATTTAAAAGCCATTATATGGAGATGGTTAGGGCACTAATTATGCTGATTGCTAACTTTAGGGACATTTATGTAGAATAATCTGGATTCATTAACATTAGAAAGATAGTAAGAGCAAGTTTACATGCCTACCTGTTGAGAGTAATCAGGTGGAAATGTTGTGTAAGAACCATTTCTGTGCACATAAGAACACGGTTATAAGTGAATGTTGCAAAGTATTAAACTCACATTGAAATGGAAGTAGCGACAGGTATTTTATTCCATATTGTGGTGTACATCTGAGTGAAATGGATATTTGGAAAAGAAAAAAAATGTTAGGTGGTGCCTTGGTTTTATCCACTGCTGTGTTGATTGCAGTCGATTGTAAGAAAGAGGCGGAGTTTATGCACTCTAAATGATTGGAGAAATGAACATACATCATCATAGGGAAGTCTGTCATTTTCAGGTTTTCGTTTAAAGCCAAGCAAGGCCACTTTGGCCATTTCTAGAAATCTTGCTGTGGGTGCCATGAGAGAAAGCTCCATCTGTATTAGATTGGAAAGTCATTTTTTTCTTTTAAGTTCAAATGAATGGAAATGAAAGGGATGAATTTTTGACAGTTTTATCTTTCTGAAAAGAAAAAGGAATGTTTACGTGCAGAAGAAAATACATGAAAGCATCAATCCAATGTTTCTTGGCTCTTACAGTGACAGTGAAACAGTGTGAAGCCACCATTAAGACCTGAACTTTTTGCCCTGTTTTGTTTTTAATTCTACAGTTCTCCTATTTAGCAATGCCAATTTATTGCTTTATTTAAAAACACTAATGTTATTTTTATTTAATTTAAGTCACATTTAATGCAAGTGCAGATTGCACAATGCACATTTCATGTTAAAAATAAGGAGTGTTTTGAAATCTTCAAACTGTTTGTTCTTCAACATATTGTCCTGCAGAAGACCTTGTTCGCTTCCAAAAGGTTACACTTCATGTAAATTTACACTCCTGAAAATGTGAGGGCATTTATTACCTTATCTATTGTGACTACTACACACAATACCTCTGATTATCCTGTGTTGTGTATTTCATTTGGCCTCATGAATAACGCATATATATGCATAAAGACACTTCACAGGTTTTCTGAAGCAATAGAGACATAACAACAGTGCTTTTCCTTTTTCGTTTGTGTGCCGAACTATGTATATGTCATATTACATAGAAAGTCATTCTCTTTAACAACAAAAACAGTTATTTTGTCTCATTTTATGTACGGCATATGAGGCCAAATTAATCATCTGTTTACCAATTATCAAACCTTTGCAGAAGGCCAATCACATCCCTCACTGACAAAACATACTGTGCAGTAACCAAGAGGCTTTTCAAGGAATTTTCTAGGTTAAATACAATTTAAGATTTATAGACCGCATCTGTGTTATGCTATCGGTTACCACATCATCGCTTAGTTTGTAAAACAAAAGCAATGTCTTTAAAATGTAACTCCAACACTGTTGATAGATCTTAAAGTGTATTTAAACCAGAATATTTCTATTACTGATACATAATTGTTGGAAGGTTTTAGATATGTGGAAGAGATTTTCCCCCCCCCTTTTTTTTTTCTTTAATTTACTGTGCTCATCGGTGTGCCTTGTTCGTACTTTTTCTTATTTATATACATGTTGCCTAATTATGTTAGTGTTTGCTGTGTCAATCAAATACAATCAACCTTACATATTCATGAATTGCTAAAAATTCAATTTCTATAGTCACTTGCTAAAAAGTATGTTTCTTTTTTTCAGATTGAATAGTTTTTGGTTCATGTTGACAAAAGCCTCATGTTTTGTATTACACTGAACAGGTTGCCATGTTTTGATGGTCTTTTATGACATTACAGTTAGAAAGGTCTGTGGCCCTATAGAGAGGTGTCTTTTATTGACATTATTATGATATAAGGGAAAAAGAAAGGCTAGATGTAGATTTGTTGATTATAGTTGGTGTATTTAGGTTTGCTGGTTTCTTTTTCTTTTCTTTTTTTCCAGAAAATTTTACATTGAAAGTGATGGCCAGTTTTTACAAATTTGATATTTGATTAAATCATCTTGTGTAGTAACGACCAGTTTTTACATCCGTTTTTTCCCCCTAACTTAAGTATTTATGGTGGTGGTATTTTATCTTTCTTTTTTTTTTTTGAGGAAACATGACCACTAACAATACATTGTCATTTGCACTTTCATAGACTATACTTGATACATTCCCAGTTTGTATGATGTGTAGCCAATAAACAGAAAGTATTGGTAAAGGTTTGCTCGGATTAAAAAGTTTAAAGTGCAGTCCTGTTTTATTGTGGTTCATGAAAAAACTAATGCAACAAACATGCTTTCTTAAAATTTAATGACATGAAATCCAGTTAAATATTTTTCTTGACAGATTTGTTGACTTATTTTTTGTTTAAAATGCTCAATTTCTTCTCTTGTTCTTGTACGTTTTTTTTGTGTGAGATTTGGTAAAATATAGATAAAGGACCAATTATTCATTGTTTTCAAAATTAAGGATATGTATTTGAGAGACCATATTTCTTTGAAATGGACATTTATTTTAGAATTTTGGCTGTGATCGCGTTCTCAAGGAAACAAAAAATTACGGTTTAATTCAGAAATAATTTTACCAGACCCTTGTAAAGCAAACATTACCAAGCTGTGGTCCGCAAACATGCCTCTTGTAAAACCATGCTGTGCTGTTTGCAAAACCAACTCTTCTTCCATGTGGAGAAACCAGGGGGAAATTGTGTAACACCTGCACGGGTAAAAGTACAAACGGTGGAGGCTCCGGAGCATCTGCTTCATCCACCATCCAGCAGAATAATGGCCAAGGAAAACAGGTTTGCATTTTTGTTGTTTTTGTTAAACTTGCTTTCTAACGTCGATTTGTGTAACCTCTCATTTAGACTGCTATTGTCACACTTTGAAGTATAAATAAAGCTAGCCTATCTACACTAAATACACGATATCGCTCACTTTGTACAGTTTTGGACGCACTATATCTGTATATTTTGCTCAGAAAATTTTACGCATATACTTTTTAACGACGTTTTAAAGAAATATGATTAAAATAATTGAACACTTGCATGAGACTACAGACATAAGTCTTCTAGTTTTAGTCTACATGGAGCGGCTCGCCCGCAACGTTTACATCACCTCTGTCAGTGTCAAGCCATTACAACCATATACAAAACTTGCTAATCTTGTTTCCCCCTTTATTTTATAGTCCAAACAGGAAATCCACAGACGCTCCGCATGGTATAGCACCAAGTAGCTACAAAGCGCCGGCCCGGCCTCTGAGAAAAAAGTCACAACCAAAGGAAAGACTGAGTAGACGACACATTTTCAAATTGAAAAATGTAAGTGCTTTTCATTCAGGCTTGTTAATAATTTTTCTCCCTCCAATATTTACGTGGTTTAATAAAATGTTTCAATGGATTTTAATCTTCTTTCTCTTCTATCAAAGCACTAGTCATATCAACAATTGTCACACATCAGAGTCTGGGTTCTACAAGGTAATCCGCTCCTTTTTACTGTTCAAAAATGTTTGTTCAAAGTACTTTTCTGTCTGCCACTTTCTATCCAGTAACCTGCACTTCTTGTGATCAGGGTGTCTTTTATCAAATAGGAGATGTCATTAAAGTAATAGATGAGGATGATGGAAAACTGTATTACACACAGATTCATGGTTTTGTCCAGGACCAGGGGCCTGTACCATGAAGCCAGATTAGTCAAGTCAAGTCAAGTCACCTTTATTTATATAGCGCTTTTAACAATACAGATTGTGTCAAAGCAACTGAACAGCATTAATTAGGAAAATAGTGTGTCAATAATGCAAAATGACAATAGTAAACACTAATTTTCCAGTTAAAGACAGTTCATCATTGAATCAGTGATGTCTTCATTCAGCTCAGTTCAGTTTAAATAGTATATGTGCAATCAAGTCAACGATATCGCTGGAAATGAAGTGTACCCAACTAAGCAAGCCAGAGGCGACAGCGGCAAGGAACCAAAACTCCATCGGTGACAGAATGGAGAAAAAACCTTGGGAGAAACCAGGCTCAGTCAGGGGCCAGTTCTCCTCTGGCCAGACCAAACCAGCAGTTCAATTTCAGGCTGCAGCAAAGTCACATTGCAACCACGCTGGCGATGCTAGCGGGCTATTTGCTAATAGCGGACCACTGGCTAGCAAGGCAAGTTTCAGTTTTGTTTGCACCAATTTTGGGTTTTAGGTAGCATGAAAGTGGCTTGGCTGTTAGCTGTGTTCAATGCCATAGTAGTTTACACTGCACAACTAACCTGCTCCAGGGCAGGTTGTGTTATGATTAAGAGATCTCAAACTGAAATTGGACCAATCAGATGTGAGCAAAGTGACACATGTCTGATGCAAAAAAAAAAAAGTCACTCCCCCAGTTTTTCTTCCTACAAATTAAAGGTCACTATAAAGTACCTTAAAAAAATGCAACAAAATTGTCTGACTTTAATGATAATTACAATTATTATTAATCCATACACGCAAGCACTTTTAGTTTAACAATTATTATAAAGCATTTATTTTAAATGAATATTAATATATACAGATCATATGCAATATAAATAAGTGGTAGAATGAATAGATAACACGTTAAAAATGGCTACATGTGACCTTACATGTTCGAGTCTCTATCGCTATATATTATCAACTATATAAACTAACTTCTCAAGTTTCACTTGTGACTGCACTTATAGAGCAAGATAATTTCCTTTATTTTATAATTTCCTTTACTTCAGTCTAAATGCATTTAAATTCCTTATATTCTTTAATCTCTTAAACGTTAACAAATAGTTTTGAATCTCGCTGGTTCTCTTGCAAGAAGTGAATCACTTGCTCTGGGTTGTGATTGGCTGTTCACCATGATGTCACACATTCATGTGCATGCACCCCACAAACTCAGGATCAAAGCCTGAGTTGACAAAGAAAGTTGATGATCAACATCATGGTACCAATAAAGCCGGATTGGAGTGGTTTGGTTTTGTCAACTCGAAACGAATCCTGTAACTCTGAATTTGTTCATCTACCATCATGGTACAGGGCAGGCCCCAGTACTGTGAGAAAAGCACTGTGTAAATTTTGTTGAGCCCAACTCAGTCCAGTCCTCAAAATCGATGTGATTCAAGCACATTTATTCTTGGTTAATAATGCAGAAACACTTTTTTTGTTCCTTGCTGATACATGTGTTGCACTTCATATATTGCATATGCAAATAGTTAATTAATTGTTAAAGGATATTTACATTGACCTGGTAAATCTGCATATGTGTGGTCAGTGCATCATCACTAGTCATCCTAATTTGAAGCATGGTTAAAATGTTTTTAGAACTGCAGTATAAACACATTTATTTCTTTGCTTAGAATAGGAATACCTGGAGTTTATGTCATGCCCCATCAGAGTTTTCAAATCAAGAAGTTGCCTTTTCCCTACAATACCAGTTCGTCCAGAAAAAGGCTACAACTGGACCGACACCTGCTGTTGCCATCAAAGAAACTGTTGGGTGAAATTAACCACTAAATTACTGCACATTCAGACTCAAGTTTTTTTTTTTATTAACAGGAATTTTCAGTACAATTTTAAAAACAGAAATGTCATGCTTGGATTAGAATGCGTGATATTTGTCATTGAACATAAAACATTTTCTACAGTCACATTTCTAACACAAATGTACAGAATATTCCAGAACTCTCAGAGTTTGACAGTTAAATGCAGAAGCTGCAGTAGTACGACATAGAAGTCTACAAATTGAAAACAGAAACTGTAAATACAAAGTTAATTTGCAACAATTTGTTATGATCGGTTAATTTGTACACAGTATTTTTTTCTGATCTTCCAGTTCTGTGAGGAATGGGTCATCTTGAGCTCAGGTTGCTTGTTCACCAGCTTTCAGTATCTTGCTCTTGTTGAGATGTGGTGAGTCTGTGCTGGTGTCCAAAAGATGTGCCTGAAACAGAATCCAACACTTGATTTCATTTTAGCTGAAGGTTGAAGTGAGCAGGTATGTACAGTATTTTTGGCTATATTTCATTGATTAAAGAATAATCTGTTCAATTAAAAGATAATTTCTGGAACTCACATTGCTTAAATTGATGATAGTGGAGATTATGTCTCCAGTGGCCATCTCAATGTTGACCATGTTCTCCAAGGAGGCAGTTTCCTTGAGCTGCGTAATCTCCTGATCATGCTGCTTAATCTCCTCCACTGTAGCCCTGCAAGACACTGAAGATGCTACTACATTTGACTGAATATGTCTGTATCCACAAATGTACCTGGAAAGAACCAGAGGAAATTGTGTTTTCGTTTTTTTTTCTACCTACTTTTGTAGCTCTCGTTTAATGGTGAAGTATTCGTCCATGTTTCTTTGTATCGCTAACATGACGATGACTACATTTTCGTAGTTCTCTACAGTCAGGTTCTCTGTATAGCCACTCCTTAATGGCTTTTGATGCTTGATCTTGTTTATTTTCTTAACCACTACTTCCACATGGATCATGTCCGCAGCTTCGAGTTTGGCATCCAGTGGCGAGTCCTGTTTATGTGTTAAAACATGAAAGGTTTTCAGCTTTATGAACACAAACAAGATTTTCATGGAGCAATATAAGTGTAACTTAAAAATAAAATGGAGTAAATTATTAGTTTAATAAACAGACATTTAATTGTTGAAAAATATTTTTTAATGTAACAGAAAAATTGAGACCAAAAACTGATCAAATATGCGCTCCAGCATACAGTGGGGAAAATATTTATTTGATCCCCTGCTGATTTTGTAAGTTTGCCCACTTACAAAGAAATGAAGGGTCTGTAATTTTTATGTTAGGTTTATTTTAACGGATAGAGACAGAATATCAACCAAAAAAGCACATTATTTAAAGGTTAGAAATTGATTTGCATTTCAGTGAGTGAAATAAGTAATTGATCCCCAAGCAAAACATGACTTAGTACTGCAGAAACCCTTATTGGCAAGCACAGAGGTAAGACGTTTTTTGTAGTTGGTCACCATGTTTGCACACATCTCAGGAGGGATTTTGGTGTACTGCTTTTTACAGATCCTCTCTAAATCCTCTCTCAAGTCGTTTGGCAACTCGAAGTTTCAGCTCCCTCCTGATTTCTGAAGGATCATGTGACACTAAAGACCGGAGTAGTGACTGCTGAAAATTCAGCTTTGCCATCACAGGTATAAATGATTTTTGAAATATATGCAAATAGAAAAAAAAATTTGAATTGAAATTTTAATATATTATATTCTTTTTTTGCATTTAAT